TCAATTAGTATCATTCCGACTATGATTAGTTCAGTAATTGCAAGGTCCATTAATGTAAACAAAAACAGATATGGAGACTATATAGTTATAAATGATTATGCCATCTCCTGCGTCATTTGTTTTCCATCAGACAGTAACATGATACATAATTGATTTACCAATATAAATATTTGTATTGAACTATCCTACAGAAACAGAGCAGTTAGAATTGAGATTGATCGTTATGGTAATGTGATACAGTTATATGGTGTTTTGAAGCTAACTAAAAAATGTTAAAACGTATATACATATATACACATGCACCTACGTATGTAAATGTCATTACTATTTTTCTACNTTTCTTTTAATATACGTATAGCTTTTACTTTATAATTTTCATACTCTTTCCTCATATTACAATACACAGTGTTGGATTTAACGTTTGTGAAGGTTCTTTGCTGATTAATTTCTGTGTTATTTTTTAATCAAGCTATCAACTTGGAAAAGAAACTCACTTCATTTGATATTTTGAAAATCTCCCTGTCAGAGCTTCTTTGTCTCTTCATTTATGAAGACGTATGTTCGGTTTCAATCTGANATCTTTTTCCAATTTACTCATGCTGTATAGATTGTCGGAATCCTGGACACTATATACCGCCTCAGCGAAAAAGTGTTTTAAGAGTGATTGACAGTGCAAATATACGTAGAAGACTAAGACGGTAGAAGAGTGTAGAAAAGAATTTGGAATCGAAAAGAGGATTAAGGAACTTTTGTTTGACTTGTAGGAGTTAAGGAGATTAAAACACTTAATGTTATTTATTTTTCATTATTCGTTAGATACAAAATGGGAAGAAATGAAACCCTTTAAACATACAAATACATGTTTATATTTCATTATACGTGTCATAGAAATCAAAGGCTTTAAACTAAAGATTATTCGTCACGGAAAAAACATGTATATATCATTGATTCATAGTGCAAGAAGCATTTGGAAAAATATTTGAAGAGTTTCACCCTTATCTCCATATTCAAAAATTGTTTTGTAAAAGTTTACTTCTTATCATAACTGTTAAAACATGTTAACAACATGCCCGGGCGTAGTCCGGGACATCCCCTA